GGTAACATAGGACTACTGGGGGTAAATAAGGTGAGCCTGTTGAGTAACATAGGACTACTGGGGTAAGTAAGACCTGGTTGGTAGGTAACAAAGGACTACCAGAGGCAGATGTTGCCTCCACCCAGCAGAAGATATTGGCTGCTTTGGGCTATATTTCTTCACCTAGCATAGAACTGTGGCTGTGGAAGGGTGAAGACTGAGATAGCAAGCAGGGAACTTTGTCTGTCTGGGGAGGAAGAAGGTTTTGGACCCCTGGCAGGCCAACGCAGAGCTGCAGGGAGGGGAAGAGCTCTGAGGGCTCTATGTACCCTGATACGCTTAAAGGAGGTCTGTGAGCAAGCATCCTACCTAACAGACTGGTAGGGCACGTCCTTGTGTATGCCCCTATGGGAGCTTTGAGGAGAACCCAAAGTGAGCATTGGAGGGTATAGATTTGCTTGGAGGTGTCACCAAGGTGGTTTGCTTGGGGAAGCAGCTGCAGAACGTGTGATCAGGCCTCTGGGAAGTAGAGGCTGATTAATCTGCAGCTGAAAGCCCAGACTTAATCACCTGGGTGGAGTTAAAACAATGCATAGACATTTATCTATGGTTGGATGGCCTAGAGTGGATTGCCACTTGCAAAGGGGCCCAGTCAAACGCCAGTTCAATGTAGACTCATGCCTAGGTCTACAAGTTCTGGTAACAGGGACTGAGATAAAGAACCAAGGTGGGTCACAGAATTAATAGAAAGACTAGTGAGAGGGACTGTTTGATCACAGTGAAGGCTAGTTGATGGACCGTTGATTCATATTTAATTTGGGAACCAAAATGGTTCATTGTACAGGTGGAAAAAAGATGGTTCCTAGTGAGGATAAGTGGAAGGGCTCCAAAGATAATGATGCAGGAGTAGCTGGTCATGATAAAGGAGTAGCCAGAGGACTGATAAGCTGTTGGAAGACTGGAATGAGCTGTTTGGAGCCTGGAATGGGCTGTTTGTTGACTGAGATGAATTGATTGCTGGTTAAGCTGAAGAGCTGAAAGATGTGGTTGAAGATCATGATGCAGGATTAGCTGATCATGATACAGGAGCTAGCTGAAGGATCTAGAAGATGATGAAAGAACTGGTAGTCCAGAGAAATGGAGCCAAGATTTTGCCATTAATTGATTTGCTGAGGTGGTAAAATGTGGACTGTTTTGCCCTTGGTTTTTTATTAAAATCAAGAAGTAATGTGAAGGAAGTGTGGGTAAGATATTTATTTATTAAGTTCCTAAAGATAAATGAAGGTATGTTGCTATAAGAACTGGATACGTAGTTGTTTTGGTGGGATGTTTTCCCTTTGGATTTTACAATATTTTGTAAGTATATGGGGGAAAACGTTGAAGAGATCCAGAAAGAACAATTTAAATAGTATTCTACTATTTAAATGGGTTTAGGTTGAATTCAGGAAGAAATATTTGCTGGAATAATGGACCGGTTAACACTTTATGTGCGCAAAGAGTTGTCAATTTGAGCGGTTTGAGCTGTGTAAATTACTTTCCTAGTGGGATCCTGGTGGAACATCATAAATGGTCTATTTCTGCGCTCTGCATTCATTGGTTGAGTTCTGGCACGTTTCCTGATGAAAATGATTGGTTGGAAGCCAAAAGCTTAAAGTATAAGCAAGGAAATAGTGAATTAATACTTTAAGCTTTGAGAAAGTAAGTATGTAAGCTTAGTTATTATAGGAAAAAGTGAGCGGCAATGGTTTAAGCTTCTGAAGAAAGCCATTCTGAAGGCAGAACCTTTGGGAAAAGGACACTATAAAAAGGTGGCTGACTGGAAAGTTACAGGGTCTTTTGAAGGTCTTTTCTGGGTCATTGACAGGGTCTTTCTGAGGCCTTTTGAGTTTCTGCCAAGAGGTTTTTGGGAGCCTTTTGACCACCAGCAGGAGCTTGATTGGACTGACAAGTGGAATAAAAGGCCACTGAAACTATAAAGAGAGCTGAAGCCCACAATAACGGAGCAGGAGCCCAAGAATAAGAAGCTGGATCCTAAGCGTGGCGCAGAAGTCCAAGACCAAGTACAAGGAGACTAAGATATTGTTGGAGGACTCCAAGTATTGGCAAATCCATATTGTTTCCTTGACTCCCCAGGCCATATACCAGAAGGTTTCTAAGGGGATCTTCCTTCTGAGAGTGAATAAAAGCCCATTTTGACCCCTATACATATTTCTGAGATACATTTTCCCTTACTAGAGAATGACAATCCCATCCAGCCGGTCCCTGGCTAAGATTCAGGACACACTTTGGGGACTGGTGGACAGGAACCCCACACATGGGCTTGGAGCAGGGCTTTGCGGGCGGCAAGTTCTGGTTCAGCTAGCTCTGGTGAACAGAAGGGGTGATGCTTCATTCCCCCACTTTTGTCCTCTACGTTGCCTGAGTTGGCCAATTGCATTGCTAATTCTACATTGGAGGCTGGCGGAGGCTGGTGCTTATTAACAGGTTTGACTTCAGGTCTCTTTTTAACCTTCTTTTGGTAAGCAGCAGCCTCAGAGTAGGTCTGGGTCCTTGGTAGCACACAGCCAGCAGCAATTTGGTCTCCATTTGGGGGATTCCCTTTACTCAGCCGGCGGGTCACAGAGTAATTCTTTGACGCAGGTCTGTAACCTGCCAAGTGGGCAGGTCCCTGTCTATCCTGGTTGATGAAAGGCATTCCCTGAGGTGTAACGCCCTGCCCCAAAGGGCAGGCTTTTTGATTTATTATTATACTTTTGTCTTTTTTTTTCTTTATTCCTTCTATATATTGGAATTTAAATTAAGAGTTAATATTTAAGTATTTTAAAACAATTACCTTGTCTTTTTGTTGATTTGTGTTTGAGTTGTTGTTGTCTCAATCTTCTTTTGCTATTTATTAGCTTTATATTTTCTGCCTTAAGGTAAAAACTCTAACTTTATTTTACCTTTTGCAATTACGCTTGCATAAGCAACCACTCCTCCCCAGCTTACAAGCTGATTTGTGGTCTCTCCTGGGCTTCTATTTTCCCCTTCTCCTCCAGGTTCTTCTCCCAAACTTACTCTGTTTGCTCCTGTTCTTGGCTGCTTTCTCCACAACTATCAATTTCTCTACTGGAAAGGTTTTTCTATAAATAAAGGAGCTTGTGAAGAGTAGGCTTACAGCTGAAATTCTAAGTGATTTCTTCCCTTCAATATTTATCAATTTTAAACTTCTGATCTTAAATTTTAGGAATTTCAATTTTTATTAATTCATTCTAAGTTTTTCTTTCTTTTTTTCTCCTTAGTTAAATAAACAAAAGTTGTAAAGCAACAAGCCTTAGGCTTGTTGTATCCATTATTTTCTCTTAAGGAATCTTTTAATAGTTACATGTACCAGTTTGCTGATGGAGAGTATCCCAATATTGATATTCCCTTAGTTATTAATTGTTCATTATTAAACACCTTGTTTTATCTTCTTTGTTTAGGGTTCTTAAACTCTATCACTCCTTTTGTAACCCAGTATAAGTTCTTGGTAGGATTCTGTAAGATTATATTACAGACAGTACCTACCTTTTTATACCTTCTGAACCTTAACCCTAATGCTTTACACACTTTAGTTTATAACCTTGCACCACTATGGGAAAGACTTTACATGAGGGTCCAGGGTTTGTTTCCTGGGGTTATAATACTAGTGTTGAAAAGCCATTATTGACAGCACTGGTAAAAATGTTTGTGGATTCATAGGCAAGTGAATCATGGGTAAATTTGGGAAGCCAGGATTGCTGATCACAGACCAAAGTAAGGAATCAACCTCTGAAGACATCAACATATATCTCGCCAAGCAGGGCGTGAAGCATAGGGTGACTGCTCCTTATGATCCCCAGGCTAACTGCAGAGTCAAAGGGTTAAATGGCAGCCTAGTACAAGCCCTTACCAAACTCACTGCTGGGAAGCCTGAGGACTGGCCCAAACAGCTGGCCACTGCCCTCCCAGTGTGCTGCACCCAAGTCAACATATCTCTGGGAAGAGTCCTTTTGAACTAGTATATGGTACACAGCCAAACATTGTTCAAGCTCTTCCAGGGCCAAACCTGGAGATACCTGGCAAAGTTCCTCCTAGATTGGCCCCCCAGATACTCTGCGCCAACAATGGTCAAACAGAAATAGAGGAAACCCACTGATAAGATATGTTTGTCCTTCTAAAAGACAGACACAGAGTTGGTGACAAGGTCCGAGTGATGAACACTAACAGGAGCAAGTTATAACCAGGGAAAGTAGACCTGACATTGTTCTAAAGGTGAATGATAGTAATACTTATCTGGTACAAGGATTGGGAAAAAGAAGGGAAGACACAGTTCTGTACCATGACAGACTTGGCCCATGCAAGGCTTGTCAGAAGCAACATGAGACTGCCATCCCAGTAACTGAACAACAGCAGATAGAGTACAGACTTTGCACCCCTGATGGCCTTCCAGAAGACCTTTTCACAGAGGAAGCCGACCTTCAGTTGGGGGGAGTGTCACAACTGCAGGGTTGACCCCCAGCAAGGTACTTCCCAAGAGGATCTGTGATCCCAAAACTGACTTCCCCATGACCTGTAGCCAAATGTGGAAGTCAACTCAAATAACTAAATCCAGCAATAAGAACCAGTGACAATCCCAGCCCGGTGGACAGCTTGATTTGGTGCTTCACTCATTATCAGAATCATACCGCCCCTGTCTGATCCAACTGATTGATCATCACAATCTTGTTCCTCTTATAAATGTTCACCCTAGCTATACAGTTCTGATATCTCAATAAAGATAACTATTTAGGTCCCAACCATTTCCCCTGTGCAACTCTGCAGATCCAGCACAGTTATGGCATTGATCGTAGAGTCCACCTGTTTATCCCTGTCTTATATAGGGTTGCTTGTTCCTAGCTACACCTGACCCATCTAGCTCTCGGTAGGAATATCTGGATTGACGGTCGGCCCTTGGCCTTGTACCTTCCCTATTTACGACAATGGGGTTAAAGCCTTAGATCTTTCCTGGAAAAACTCGTGATCCCTTTGTAGCTCAGTTGGAACAGCGAAGGACTGTAAATTCTAAAGATATCCTTAGGTCCCTGGTTCGATCTCAGGCGAAGGGAAGTTTTTGTTATTGCGATAGAGCAAGCTTTTTATCCGATCTGGTAAACATTTCTATACCCAGGCTTCTTCACCAAAAGGCCTAGCGGGGCAAATCACCATGGGGTTAAGCGTTGATGGAAGGTTAGATATTTCGATCCGGGTCGAGAAAGGTGGGGATGGATTGGGTATCTCCCCGATAATACTTTATTTCTGACCCGTGGCTGGAATCGGGTTGGGTTAATATTGTCATTGGGTAGTGAGGGTTGAGTTTGATGATTGATTCAGGCCAAGATCCCTTGCTTTGAGAAATGGGTTTAGGGTCCAGAGTATGGAGATTGATCTCGATACGAAGTAGACATGGGGATTCAAGGGTCTAAGATTTGGGAATCTCAGATCGAGGCTGGTTCAACTATGCACAGATCAAATATTAACGATAAACAACAAAACAGGATAATATCGAGAGTACAGTTATGCTCCCGAGAATATATATGCTGCTGCCGTGTGAACCTCTAGGGAGGAAGCATTTTTCTAGCCTGATGGAATGCCAAGCGAGTCTGAAACGGTAGGATTGCTTCAAATACATCACTTGCACTATGAGGTATCTATATAGAGTGCATAATATTCGCAATACTGGTTAGAATAAGTTTAACATAGATATAAATTCCTGTAGTTGATAATTTAAAGCTCCCCTTATTACAAACATATCAGGTTAATACATTGGTAAAAGAAAATAGAGCAATGATGTATAATCATAATATTAAGATGGTGTCTCAAATGAATCAAGTAGCTTTATGACCAAAGCTTTTGGTTAAGTATACACAGCTTTCTTGGCGTATTGGTTTGCAAAGGATCATTTAGGGTATATGGAGATGGATCACGACATCCGAATGCGATATTTAGCTACAATGGACAGTACAGTAGCCTGCACAGCCGCGAGGATGAATGAAATAAACTCGCCCTGAAAAACGGACTCGGTCTTAGTCAAAACCCAAGGTTGGTATAAAACATATGCTCATTTATAACAAACTCAATCACCTGAGGAAATCATCTTGGTCACAGCTGGAATATTAAAAAACAAAACAAAGTATTATCAGCTATCTTCATACTTATTTAACATGAAAGTTGATAAAAAACACACCGAGCCGTGGTGCGCTGAAGCTCAAACCCAGGAAGAATCACAATGGCAACTCATTTCACGAGCTAAACCACCCAGCACCTGACCAAATCAGAATGTGTTGCCATGCCACCAGCCCATCCGAAATAAAAGACAATAATATGTTCTGTCAATTATCGTCCTATCAACCGATTTTCTGACAAACAGCATTACACACACTGTTTGCCATCATTATAATTAACGCAAACATAAACAACCCAAATCTCCAACAAAAAATCAGATCCAATCAAGTGCTAAATTTGACAGTTGATAAAAATATGAACTATACATGGAATCAAGCTTAACCTTCGAAAATAAAAAACAACAACTAAAGCTATAAATCTTAACAAAAACAAATATTAAATATCAACCTATAAAAACCAATCACTAAAATGAACAAAGGTTAACCAAGTATTATTAAACCTATATACAAGACAAGCAAATAGTTTATTAAGTATCAGCAATTGTTCAAACCCAAAGTTCATAGCATTCAATACCCTCTTCAGGTATCCCAATATCTCATCCTTCCTATATCCATATTCACCTGATTACATATATCATGTCCTTCTTGAGTCTATGCTGACTTTTCAGGGAGGGATTCACCTGTAAATATACCCAAGAATCTCATTAGCACTATCCTTTGACTTCTTCAGTCCCACAAATAGCTTATAAAAGTATGGCTTTCCAACTCCCACCAACTTGGCAGATTGACTGTGCCATACTTCTAGGGCAGAGGTTGTCCTGGTACTCTCAGCCAAGACACACAAACAGCTTATAAAAGGATGGCTTTTGCTGTGAATGCCGCCATTCACCATATTTTGATTTTGCCTTCAATGGGTTATTTCAAGGACAAATCTCTCTCTTTTGCTTTTGCCCCTCAAAATGAGTTTGTATCCAAACTGGGAAATACAATTGTTTGGTTTCCTGATTCTTTGCAGCTCTCTTGCCTCACTAATACTGATGGCAAGTGATCTTATCATCCATGTACTGTTTTTTGGCAAAGATATACAGTATATATTCCATTTTACTTTCACCAATAAAAATTAAGTTCTGTTCACACTTTTGTCTATGTCTCCAAGTACTTTGGCGCCTCTCTCTAGCCACAACTAGTAGAGATTATCCATTCAGGACCACAAGGTAATTGAATAGCCTTCCCTGCCATTCTAACCAAGACTTAGTACAAATCCAATCCTAAGGTTAGAATTCCCCATTGCGTATCTGTGCCACACCTCAGAACATAACAAAAATTGTGCTCACTACAGGGGCTATAAGCCCCTTGGTTATCTCTTTTACAACCATGTTTAAGGTCCTTTGCATCCTCCTATACAAGAGCTGACTTCACCTCAAATCACTAGTCCTCCTATTGAGGAAGACATCACAGACCCACCTATTGTCACTACTGTACTAAACCTTTGAAATGGTCCCGCCTAGTGGCCTATTCTTTGGGTACCCCCAAATTAGAACAAGTCATGCCAGTAGCCCTTGGGATAGCCCGTGAAGGAGCCATCCCTTGCCTCCAATTACAGTTCAGTCAAGTGGAACACTACAAATTGATTGTGGCTCTGCAATTTCCACAGCATCTCCTCTCAGAGGCTGGCTCTGCTGAGCACCTATTGTCATCCTTCATACAACCTGCCTTAGCCCACCATCAAATGGTGTTGGGACTCCATGTTCAGGAGGTTTTGTCCCTACAAGCAGCCATCACAAATCACTGGGATCAGTTTGCTGCGTATCAACAGTGTATCCACTCCCTGTTTTCCTTGGTATCAGACAATCAGCACAACTCTGTTACCTCTCAAACCTGCTTGGTTAATTCCATTGAGCGCATGCACCAGGCCATCCCCAAATACACCAGGGAGTGTCTACATGAGTTCCACCAGTTGAAACAGCCCTGATAAACCCAAGTAGATTCTACCTTAAACACCTATATTACCAATTTCAAATGACTTGTGCAATAGCTCAATGCGTTCAGTGCTTACTCCTTAAATCAACTACAACAAGTCACAGACTTTGCTGCTAGAGGCCTTTGCAAGCTCAGTGAAGAGTTTGATCAAGAAAGAGTAGCCACCGTTGCTGCCATTTTCAAACTTCAAACTCAAGTAGATGAGTTGTCCATGCCCAAGCCAGATGTTCCTCCTTCTCCCCCATATGAAAATCTGATGGATAGAGAACAGAAACTATGGGACACCATTTGAGAGCTGCAAGCGTCTACCCTTAGTCAAGATCACCCTACTGAAGCACCTCAGCCAGATCCCCAAGTGCTTGTTTTGACAACTCAAGTTGCTGAGTTACAACAAGAGGTTGCTGCCTTAAACAAAATGGTGGCAACTGCTGCTAGTCCAGCTGGGGTTATCAACAAAGATGGCTGTTGCCCTGGCCTACCAGGAGCTCCCCAAATCCAATGTGCTAGAGAGTTAATCACTCTAGCCAATGAGGTGGATCACTTGAAATGGGACCACTCTGACCTTGACAAGGACGTGAAAGAAATGAGTGAATTAATTGATTCAGTAAATGATATGTTTGCCCCTTGCCTCTCAGTTGGTCCTTCCCTGACCTCCTGACTTACCAAGCTTTCCACACTAGTAACAAAACAGGGCCACCTCCCAGACGTTACTGAGTGACAGACCACCTTAGATAATATTACAGGTGCCCGCACAGCTGAGACCCTGACTACTCTTGAAGAGAGTGTTTGACAGCTGTGGGCCAGACAGCCCCCCTCTGAATCTGAAGCAGAATTCTCCCCGCGCATAAATGTACTCAATAGCAACAATGGTGGTCCAACTCCCAAAGCAAACTTCAAACCTAACTTTAAGCAAGTCTTCAACCCCAAACCATCTGCCATTGCAGCTTTCCTAACTATCTACAGAACTGCCATGAGAAGAGCCTCTGATGAGGTTAAGAAGGAACATATTCTAACCTGCCTGCACCCTACCTGTCAAGAAGTGGTAGTGCTAGAGCTGCCCATCATTGAGACTTGGAAAGATATGAAACAGCTTTTGATTGATGAGTTTGGTGGCAGCCTTAATTTGGAAGCAAAGAAGGACGCCTTCATGCACATTGCTTTCAAACCTAAGGAGACTCTGGCTGAATTTGCAGATAGATTCTACATAGACAGACAGCAATTGATAACTAGCAGATAGCTGACAGCGCATGAGGCTTATATGGCCTGCGCTCAAGCCCTCAAGGTTAAGCAACTTCTGTGTCTCCACTTTAAGACTCACAAGGCCATGCTTTCCTCTATGAAGATCATAAAGACACTATTGCAGGATATGCACCTTACCGTTCTGGAGCAGTTGTGCGGGAGAATCATGCTGCCTCTAATTCTGGTTTGTCTTCCTGTGGCCCTTGTATCCTCACTATGAACTCCCAGAATCCTCCTAGACACCAAGGTTGCCATAACTGTGGCCAGATAGGTCACCATTCTTGAGTCTTCACCAATCCTTGGGTTAAATGAGCTGATCCCAAGGAGAAGGCAGGAAAAGAACAGTCAACCTAGAGGCAGAGAAGCTCTTGGTTGACAATTGTTCCCAGTCTCCTTCAATTCCCCCCTCCATAGTCAACTCTGAGCCTGCTGAAACTGAGGCTCCTCCCATTCTTCTGCTGTTCCACAATATCTCTGATGACTGACATGGATGATTCAGACATTGATGATCCTGACGCCTATGGGTATTCAGTTCTTGCTGTCCCAAAAACCATTGTAGTACCTTATAAGTTATGCTCTGGGAAATCTACGGCAACTGCCAAGCCTTTGTCTGAAGCCAAATAGGTTGTCTCTTGTCTATACCTCACTCAAGCTAAGGGGTCTCCCATGCTCTTAGAGTCATATGAAGAAGCTGCTGAAGTTGCTGACACTGTATTCAATAATGT